CATCGTCCATGTGAATATTGAAATCACCCAATACTATAATGTTTGGTGAGAGGGTTGACAGGTGAGTGAGAAGAGCAGCAAAGTCATTCATAAAGTCACTGTTAGTTTTCGGGGGGGGCGGTAGATGGTTGTGATGATGGTGGGGGTAGGTCCAGAGAGCTGACACACAAGTTGATTCGAAAGAGGAGAAGGTGGGAGCAGACAACGGCGAGACTTTCCACTTCTCGCGGTAAATTATCGCGAGACCTCCCCGGCCGGTGCCACGGGGTTGACAGATGTAAACAAACCCCGGTGGAGTAGAATCATTGAGCTGAGAGAAGTCATTAGGTTGTTGCCAGGTCTCAGTCAAGCATAGAAAGTCAAACTTACGGTCAGTGAGGAGATCCTGGATGAGATGTCCCTTGCCCGTGAGTGAGCGGATGTTAAGCAGACCGAAGTTTATAGAGGAGTTATCAGGCTTTGCAGGAGTGTTAGCTGACCGGGCTAGGCAAGCTAGCACGCTGCGGTCAACAACCCGGTTGGAAGCACGCCAGAGACGACGAGAGGTGGACCAGATGGATTTTATGGGTTTCGAAGTGTCCTCTTGGATGTTCCGACGAGACCCGCGGTGGGTGTATTTCCGGCGTGGTAAGAGAATTGCATCCGAGATGAGTAGTGAAGCAGGGGGGAGTGCAGATAGATGAGACCGCAGCCGGAGGAGCTCAGCAGTAGAGTACTGGATCAGACCAGTAACAGGTTGTTGGAAGAGTGCCAGGAGAGTCCAGAGAAGCACAGCCCAGATATATATCCTGCTAGTTGRCATTGTAGGAGAGGAGTCGGCAGCCTGGACAGGTGAGCAGCGACAGTTAAGACTCAAATAGTAGATGAAAGCAGGAGAGTGGAARCTAATCCATGTACACACGCAGTGTTGTCAAAATCGGCGATTTTGCTGAACAGACAAAAGTTAGTCAGCCTGATTAGTACAATTGCATAGTCCATTGGTCACAAGACCATAAACTAAGTTAATTTTACCGGCGAGCAGCGGCAGCAAGTCGCGCCAGCGTTCACTCTAAAAACCGGAAGTTCAAATTGTTCATTATAATTTTGTTGTGCTTTAACAATGACAAAAAAGGCATTTTCAATTCAACAATACTCACAATCTTTGATTACAGGAAGTCTGCAGTGCAGCAGTGAGAAATGGACAGAAAGTAAACAAGATGCTAACTTCCTACAACTTGAGAAACAGAGAAAACAATGTAACTTTACATCGAACTGTTTTTATTTATTTTTTAAATCATTAAACATAAAAACATCCAGATAACAAAAACATCTGGTGCATTTATTAAACAAGCTGCAACTACATTACCCACAAGGCCACATTCTTAAAAACATTACAGTAAAAAAAGTCTGAGTAAACTGATTTTTATTGATTTAAATGTTACTTTAATCAGCAGACAGCAACAGTTTGAATGTTTTAATGATGATGAACTACAGACTCAAACTACAAAGAATCTTAAGATCACAGCTTCTCACCTGTGTGACATTTCATGTGGTATTTTAAACTGTTTTTATGATGAAAACAATGCCCACAGGTCTGACATGAGAAGGGCTTCTCACCGGTGTGAGTTCTCATGTGGTATTTTAAACTGTTTTTACGTTGAAAACTTTTCCCACAGGTCTGACAGGAGAAAGGCTTCTCACCTGTGTGAGTTCTCATATGAGTGACTAAACTGCATTTATGGTTAAAGTTTTTTCCACATGTCTGACAGGAGAAGGGCTTCTCACCTGTGTGAGTTCTTACATGAGTGATTAAAGTATAGTTCTGACTAAAACTTCTCCCACAGGTTTGACACAAGAAAGGCTTCTCACCTGTGTGAGTTCTCATGTGAGTGACTAAACTCCGTTTATAGTTAAAATTTTTTCCACATGTCTGACAGGAGAAGGGCTTCTCACCTGTGTGAGTTCTTATATGAGTGAATAAATTATAGTCATTACTAAAACTTCTCCCACAGGTCTGACATAAGAAAGGCTTCTCACCTGTGTGACTTCTCATGTGACAGACTAAACTGCGTTTATAGTTAAACTTTTTTCCACATGTCTGACAGGAGAAGGGCTTCTCACCTGTGTGACATTTAATGTGGTATTTTAAACTGATTTTATAATTAAACCTTTTCCCACAGGTCTGACATGAGAAGGGTTTCTCACCTGTGTGAGTCCTAATATGTGAGATTAAACTACATTTTTTACTAAAACTTTTTCCACAGGTCTGACAGGAGAAGGGTTTCTCACCTGTGTGAGTTCTCATGTGAGCAGTTAAAGTATATCTTGACCCGAGTCCTTTCCCACAGGTCAAACACAGAAATGTTTTTGCTTTTTTCTTCACTAAGGGCCGATCTCCAGTCCTGCTTCCTTCCTGAACTTGGTTCTCAGCTTCAGC